AACGATCATCCCCAGCTGGAACCCGTCGGCGGGGTGGGGCGCCCACACTGGCTTCCCATCCTCCATGGCTTACCTCCAGTCCAGCACGACCACACAACTGGGAGAGGGAAAGAGACGGAAAGGCAAAGAGAGGAAACGTTACTACAGGAAGGCTTAAAACAGATATGCAAAGAAGAGTACGTTTTGCATTTTTACTCAGGTATTTCAAACAAACTCTAAACTGGTCCCATTTCCTGCTCCCCTAGACTTCTACACTATATGTATCTCACCTTCTCTTCACAGCTGACAATCAAAAGTCTTAACTAAGTACGTAATGAAAATCCTTTTAATACCACAAACATATCTTGTTATGTCTGTAAACGTAATATTTTACTTGACATGGAGACTGATATCGAAGTAGTATAAGTGACATCAGACAAAAACACAGATTACAATGAGTTCATTGTCAAACTGATATTACAGTGGCCTTCCTCAGTCATTTGCATTGATGTGTTTGGGCCCTGACCCTCTGCTGCGCTCTGCTTCGCTTTCCATGAACATGTTTTACTCCTACTGATCTTGTATGAGAGGATTTTCTGCTGGGACATGACCAGAGGGAGTCCTGCAATCTCCAGTGAGGACAACACTACCTCACGTGACCTCACATAGAGAAAACTGCCCGGCCCAACAAGCCAGTTAGAAGCATCTCAGTTCTGTAGGTGTATATTTGGACTGTGCAGTGCCCAAGCTAACGCACGTAATCTTACACCATGCTATCAAACTGTTGGATGACGTATAGCACTTTCTACATTCTGACTATTATGCAACTTAAATCTGATTAGTCAAGTTTGAAGCCTAAAGTTGTGTGTAGGTATTTTTAGCCATCTGTTAGTGGGTATAATTTGGAAGTCCAGCTAAAACAAGAACATATTGCTGGCTGACTCTTTCAAGCAGTTTTATTGTTGCCAAAACAATCGGCTTTATACATTCAACCGTGAATTAAAATTGTACAACTTTATTCTGTAATAGACAGCAGCCGTTGGACCCTGGCAGATGTCGAGGATAATAATTCCTGTCCGAATCTGGTGCCGACAATATCAGAGCATCTTCAGTCAAATGTGAAAGCTGTATTTTCGTGTGTCGTTACCGATTCTTGACAGTTAATCCTACAAACAGAGTTCTTCAATGCAAAAGTGCTGATGTTATGCCAGAGTATCCCATTAGCTTCAGGGATTGAGGTCAAATGTCAGAAAGGATAGGTGCTGGAAAGTGCTGATGTAGCCTTCAGCAAGGACTCAAGGTTCAACAGGTACATCAATTCGCATAATGGTGGCTCCAACCAAGCAAGAGATTGGAGCTGGTAACCTGTAGTGACCTACTCCTGGCTTTTCTGTCTTTCTTTTGGACATAGATGAGACTGGACCACAATGATCTTGCACTATTCAACATTTTGCATTTCCAAATATCTGATTCCTTTGTGTTGCATCATAACTTCTTTGCAAGAACAGTCGACCATTTCTTTATCACTGAACAAGAGAGGGATCCTTGCATGTTAGTGATGGTAATAACCACAATCAGACTTTTACAGCTTTATAATCAAGTACGTCATGTCTGGTCAATACACCTACTGTACATCTGGCTTTTCTCAATACTGACTTTGAGGACTTTGTAACACAAGGCTCAGATAAACGTAAAAACTATTAAAATGATACGGGTACCATTTTACCAAAACAAGATGATTTGGAGAACGCCTGTGTGGTGCTAATGCACAAGAAGCAAATATAAGACTGTATTAAATATTCAATAATTATTTATGTAAGTATATATAAGCATAAACAAATGAAAACCTGGCTTGCATCTAATATGATCCTTCAATCAATGCTTCCACTAAAAGTGAATGTAATATATGTTGTTTACAATAGATGCATTTGCCAAGTAAGAAGATTTCATCAATAGGGCCGACCCACCATAAAGGCCAGAAACAGAACAAAAAACTCAAACAATTCTCTGAGAAGCAAACTTATAAAAGCAATCTATTGGATCCATAATACCAAAATTGTATTCAAAAAGATACTAGAAGAAGCTTCTTGAACCTTGTTTGTAGAAAGCATTTAAGTCAATTCACAAATCTCATTCTACAACGTTTGCAAGAGCTGCGACAGGTGAATAGGCCCCGTCTGTATAACTTTCAGGAACTTAGACTGCATGGATGCCATATTCAAAATTGCCGTGATGGTTATTTTGATAATCAAACACCATTCAAACATAAGCAAGAGTTTAAAAAAATGCAGCAGAAGGAGGGAGGATAAAGATTACTCTGCCCAATCTGTTATCTTCAGCCTTCAAGTGTGAGATCAAGGCTACGTGGGATCTTCCAGACTGTCTTTGCTACATGACTGATAACAAAGCTTTCCCACAGTTCCCTACTAACCCAAGTCCAATTACAGTATGTCCACACAGGAAATACGCTCAGTTCAAAACCACATGACCACCAAAGGCCTCATGAGTACACAAATATACCATATACTGCACAATGAAGATATAATTCATACTTATATTTGTCATACACCAAGAGCAGTATATGGGGATCTACTGCAGACTCAGTTCAATACACAGCAACACTTCTGTCTTCGTAATATGCAGCAGTGCTCACTGTACCGAGAGCTTTAGGATTCTCATGCTACATTCAAAGCAAACCTCAAAACAGTCTTGTATATCACTTAGGGAGATGTCTACTTTACTGACTGCTCTCAACAAAACAGAGACTAAAGTCCCTCATGAGTAACTTTGACTCTGCAGCCCTAAATCCTCTTAGTATTTGACCCTAATCCAGACAGTGAGGTGAGACGCTTCAACGCTGACAAATAAGAGTCGGCGATCAGTTGCGAGACAAATGCAAATCAGAAATGTGTCTCATGTCCAATGAAACACAGAGACCCATGCAGTGCAGGGGGAAGGACACAGAAATGTACACATAAATGAATGGACACTGGCTCAAACAGAAGCAGGACACACAAACATTCCCCTTCTTTCCTGCCTCTTGTTTCCTGTTCCCTACCAGGCAAGAAAAGGGAAATGGAAAATGCATTGGCTATCAACGACAGGTCAAGAGCATGAACAGAGATGTAAAGCAGAATGAAACAGAGTGGAGATTAGACAGTCAAATGAAAACAGTTCAAGACAATGAAATGGATTCAAACAGAGACTAACTGTCCCTTATAAATAGATAATTATGCCAACTGTAGGAGTTTGTGGGCAAACAAACACTATATAGGTTTGTTAATAATTAAACAAAAATACAATCGGGAAACGACATTAACGGTAGGCTACTAACTCCATTCCCATACTTGTAAAGATATTACAAAGTGAACTTTTCGCGAAAATAATATAAAAGTTAGACAAACACTTACGTTCAAGGTGTCAAATTGACGATGAGGGCGACAGGACCGAGTGTTAAGTCCCTCATACGGATGTGTAGTTGTAATAGTGCTCCAGCTTTCTCAGTCTTCCTTCACGGGGCAGGCTGCGCTCGGTGCTCCGGTGAGCCCAGGTGACGTCATCCCGACTGTACACGGCTGAAGGTGCGTTGACGTGCTGCTCGTAAGATCCTGTGTCGGGTCGTTATTACTGACTGTGTTCTAGTCTGAAAGCCAAACAGGAGCACTGAATCCCTTCGTGCAGCAGAGGAGGAAATGAGCATTGGGAAACTAAATTACCATTTATTATCACCAACACATTTTAGAAAAATAAAACACAATGCTGTAACATTTAAACCCCTTTAACCACTATGCACGTGACTTTGTTGTAACATAATAACCTACATGCATTTTTCAGTATGTCAATGTGAGGAATATTACCACTCATTGTCATAGAATAGAATTTAAAAAAAAATGTAATCATAAAACTGGATATTGAGGATGAATTGAGCACACACCCAACTTTCAATTCACTGGCTCATAGCAGCCAGTGAAAGACAGCAAACGTTGCCTTCAGAGTCATGAATATTTGAGAGGCTGGTAATCTAAAGCTTTTGGGGGGATTTTTGAAGGAGACATCCAATCCACCATTGAAAGCCGCCACTGGGTTTTTAAATCTAATTAGGATACTTGATACTCCTGCATTGGACAATATCTGATTACTGACACTAGATGACAGCATGTAAACACTAACATGTACGCTAAGTTAAAAGTCCAAGTTAATATTTGCATGACGTCCTAAATAATATACACGACACAGACAAACACTACTTGACCAAATCAAATTGTAATATTTATTTTGGGACACTATGGTACATAATCTCCAAACATCAACTATTCACCATCCAACATTTTGTTTATTTATTCATTTTTACAGGAACACATTTGGATTTAAAATCTAGAAACAAATACATATGTGTATATATATACATATATTACTGTAATTCTTACTGACTGCAAAAAAGATAAGTAATTGTACATTTAAGATCCAGGCCAGTGGAGGTCCATTTGCATGGACAATGGCTCCCTCAGGTGGTCACAAAGAGGACAAGCAGATCTGTATCTGAAGCCACATCCCGAACCAACTTGTTTACAGGAAGGTAGAGAAGACGAGTAAGGAGAAGAGAGGGGACCTTCTAAGCACCCTGGGGAAACAATAGTGGCAGAAATGTTATACAAGCAAAGCATTGCATTCATGTAAAATCCCAAATGCTTAACTTGGATTGACTCATGGACACGGGATTACGGCATATTATTTTAAAAAGAATTTGTTAATTGGTAATTTGAAATTAATGACATGACATGGGAGACATCGCAGGCACTTCACAATTAAATGCTTTTCTAAATATCTGATAGAGCTTGAAGTTGAGAGAGTGTATTTATCCAGCCCCTCCGCTGTCAATCACTCGACTATACTTTCTCAGCCAATTATCTGTGGCGCCCCAGCTGCTTTGGACTTTATCTGTGAACTGTTTACAAATTTCCTATCACACATTTTCTGTGGTGCTTGCGGAGGAACATGAAATGTTTCTGTAGGACCACCAGCGTTCAAAGCTTCTGCAAGTCTTTGCAAGCTGGCTGCACTTCTCTACTTTTGTCTGAAAACACCTCTGCAGGTAAGCAAGCCACATTTTGAAACACAGCATACTGTTAAACCCCTGCTAATGTTCTAGGTGTTTGTTGATTTATATAGACATTGCCAAGTTTGTAACCAAAGAAATGTTTTGGTTTAAGCAGCTGTGATTCTGTATGTTGAGATGATTTCAAGCATTAATTAATCTAGAAGATATGTATGGATTGGATTACAACAATTCATTTATTTCTTAAACTATGGCTTCTTTTGCAACTTCCAAATGTTTCTCAGGATAAAGAAATCATGCTTTTTTCAGGGCTCTTTTTCAGTATCTATTTGTGATTTATTAAAAGTATTGAAATGGGATATGTTCAGCAGGGCGTGTTCTCTCAGGAATTCAGTTGCCCGCTAACCAAATGATTTGCAAAAGGTTTTGTCTTTTCTCAATCTCTCTTGTTCCTTCAGTACAGCCCACCAACCAGCCCATGCAAAGGATGATAGGAGAGAAGCTGTTATTGCACATAACAATAATGTCTGTGCTGAGTTTGTCATATGGACAGCACTCGACAGAGGAGTCCTGCACTGTTCAGATCCTTGTCCCTGGCCTCAAAGGCAAGTCATTCTACATACTTTCTTACCATGCATAGAAAAATGTAATCCGTCTTCATAATTTCTTCTCTTTATTATTGTGTTTTCTGCAAAAGGAGAACCAGGAGAAAAAGGTGAAAAAGGAGCACCAGGGAGACCAGGAAGAGTTGGCCCTCCTGGAGAGATTGGTATAAGAATATCTTTTATTTTTAAATGCAGGGCAAAACATTAACCAAGCATCCAAACTATATACATCTCCTCGTTTTTTTTCAGCGCTACCACTAAGCTGAAACAAAAAAAAAGTTCTGGGGTAAAGATCACATTGCTTGGGCTGATAATGTACTGTTACATCACTGCCAGGCCATCCAGAGATGGCCAAGTGTTTACATTTGGGTGAGAGGTTGGAGGAGAAATGATTTGGGAGTTCACTGCTGTGGACAAGTGTTTACTGAAGACCTTAATGAGGAGCAGAGGGTGTTTGGGAACTTTTTAAAGAGATTACACAGACTGCATTTTCGTTAATGTACCCATAGCAGAAGTTTAAGAATTTCAGTTAATATTTTAATTGACGATTTTTGGTCTTTTAAGGTGCAGAAACTTGAGACATGTGGCTTTTTTTAAACAGATTGCATTGTAACAAAATATTTCTGTTCAATCTCTGTCTTTTAAGGTGAAACCGGACTTACAGGTCAGAAAGGCATAATGGGACATTATGGAAAAATGGGCCCAAGTGGAATGAAAGGTAATCAGAAAATACAGAAATGTACTTCACATAATATTTTAAGCTTTCTTTCAAATAAATATAAATTTTATATCTCAGGGCTAAAGGGAGACATGGGGGATCTGGGTCCAAAGGGCCCTAATGGAGAACCAGGTGATATATTATTCCATGTTATTCAGTTTGTCAAACAGATTATTAATAGATTAGAGGGACACATTTGGTGAGATTTGAGAGCTAATTAAGACGCCTGTGTGGTAATCCCCCACATTTTCTCCTTATCAGGTGTTCCATATGAGTGCACATCAATGAGAAAGATGATTGGAGAAATGGACATTCTTGTAGCACAGCTCTCCTCTGAACTGAAATTCATCAAAAATGGTATGATTTTAAGATTATTTTTGTGTGCGTTAAAAACATCAGTTCTTGTATCTTCGCTGTCGCTTCACTTGTTATCCTCATAGAACTGCAAATGCTGGGCATGTCAATGTGAAATTTATAGAAATACAAGTGCTCATTTTTCAGCACTGCCCTCCCCTGCAGCTGTTGCTGGCATAAAAGAGACAGACAGTAAGGTCTATCTGTTGGTGAAGGAGGAGAAGCGCTACTCCGACGCTGAGCTCTACTGTCAGACGAGGGGAGGGCACCTGGCCATGCCCAAAGATGAGGGCGCCAACGTGGCCATCGCAGGGTACATAACCGAAGCAGGCCTGAACAGAGTCTACATCGGCATTAATGACCTGCAGCGCGAGGGCGTTTTCACCTACGTGGATCTCTCTGCCATGACCACTTTCAGCAAATGGAGAAAGGGAGAGCCCAACAACGCCTATGACGATGAGGACTGTGCTGAGATGGTGGCCTCTGGGGAGTGGACTGATGTGGCATGCCACCCTACCATGTATTTTGTCTGTGAATTTGACAAGGAGAGTGCCTGAGTTCAGTCTCCATGCAGACGATGAAGCAAGAGTTAGACCGAAAAGTGTAAATAGAATGACAAAATGACATGCAAGTTGTGCAAACTATATTTTCTACTTCCTTTTTACTTTTCCTTATAAGCTATTATTTTCTTAACTCACTCAACATCCATTCTTTTTATGAGAATTTACTCATTTTAAGTGCACCGTTAATCTCATACTCTTGTGATTCATAAGTGTTTCAAACAGCATGCCAGCCAATGTATTGATTTTTTTTATGTAACGCAAACTATCCAATGAGCAATATTTGCAAACAGGGCCGTCAACAAACAAGACAAATTAGCAAATGTAGAAGGCTCTAGTTTGTGCATAAAATATGAAATTAAAGATTTTGTTTCCAGTTGCGTGCTGTTAATCATAAGATGGAATACAATATACATTCTATATTCATACTGTAAGTTATGTGTTGGTTGTTGTAAACTCAAAAAGAAATCATTTCTGACCCTGACATGCCACATTTATCTGCAGCAGCTGGACCAAATCCAGCTGCGTAAGACTCCACCCAGTGGACAAAAATTATACTGCAGTGTAACAATTTGTCACACTGGGATCTAACATTAACGCTGGCTGAGTTCAAGTGTCCCAGTAAGCCATGACAGCGTGAGCCAGCCTGCGCAACAACAGGACCCTGAAACTGAGGCAGCAAATATCAGTATTTACACGCGTGCTTTTCCTACTGTAAAATATATTTTGTGCAAAGATGTCTACGCATTGTATACGCAAAAAAATTGAACTTGATTGTTATTTGTTAATTTATTTTTATTAATTATTGGAGATTTTTCTATATTAATATTTCTCTGGAAAAATTTTGAAATCCATCTTAAGCAAATTATACAGAGTTAAATGAACACTGACAGTTTTGCTGTGACATGTATATTATTTAAAAACATAATGTATTCTCTAAACACAAGAGACTTTAAAATAATAATAAACAAATGACACTAGGTATCAATATGACAGCACCCTGTTTGCTGAATGACAAAAACAAGAAATATACCCCAGGTTAATATCGCATGTTTGACAATCCTCTACGGTCTAGTTGTGTGATTAATAGAAGTTGTCTTACAGCCCTGGCTGCTATTGTGTTTTAGGATGGGCATCCCAGCTGAGATGATATCCTCAGTCCCTTGAGTCCCTCTAAGAAGAGGAATTTGAATATGCATGATGCAGTTCTCCCAATAAAGCACAGGACCAGTCCCTTAGGAAATGAATAATTAATGCTGGGATGAATTATGCATTTAATTGACCAGGAGTTGTCTGGCATAAACCAATAAGGTGCCATTGTTGTTGGTGTAATCTCTCGTTACATTTGTGGTAAACCATTTGGACAGCTCTGTCTAAAACTGGCAGGTAATCTGTGGTGAAAAAAAAGGCTGCAAATGGGAGATATGGCTACACAGTGCATGGAAATGGAAAAAAACAAACACACACAGTACATTTGATGTTATATTCCCTATATCCACTGTGGAAATATCATTTCTGTACTGTAGTTGTGATGTTTTAGTTTGCCCCCCCTAGATGGACTAAAGTTTAACTTGTCTTCCAGTAATCCAGTAATTTGGAAAGGCAAGCAACATGAGCGCTGTCAAGAAGTCACCAGTTAGTTTTTGGTAAATGTGCAAAGGAAAGTGGAGTTATAAAGGGGGGAAATGTATGCCAACTGTATAAGCTTTGTTGGCCCATATGGGGGTGTATCAATGGCTATCATCAACATCCACATATCAGTGGACAGCCCTCTGAACATATACAGCACAACATGGCTTAAAAACAAATCAAACAAATGGTGAAGTTTAAATTTAAATTTAAAAAAAGTTCTTGGACCAAACCCAGGTGTAAAAGTGATCCAATATTGGACTTTATGCTATCTAGTTCATTAGAAGTCTATGGTCCAAACATTACAGAAATATGGACTCAAATGGCCCAAATTTCCCCAGATTGCTGTTGTATAAAATAATACTTATTATAATACTAATAATATGAATAATTATATCACTAGGCATGATAATAAAATGTTAGCTTGTACATTGTATGTATTATTTGTATATACTTTAATCTAATTAAATTACACTACATGGCTAAAATGAATATAGCCTACTGTAAACTAACTAAATGTGATCTGTTACATAACCAACGGATTCTCCCCTGTTGGTTGACTTGGAAACGCATTCGTTTTGGGGGAAAATACTGAATTAACGTTAATTAACCTTAATTAACGTTACATACAAAGGAACAACTAGGAAACCACAACACAGACGGTGGTGGATCGGTTTCTTGATGCTACACCTCTCGTGTGAAAGAATTGGTTTCCATATCAGACGCTATCTCCAGTTACGTCTCCGGATCCTCTACACACCGAGACAGGGACACGTTTACTTTTGACACCAAGCGGCGTTACTCTTTGTTGGTTTGACCTAACGTTAGTTTACATACTAAGTATGCCAGGCACAGCAGGGAGAGGCGATCTGCCGCCGACAAAAACAATCATCGTCTACAAGAACGGAGACGCTTTTTTCCCCGGAAGAAAAATAGTTGTGAATCCGCGCCATCTGTCAACTTTTGACAACTTGTTGACGTCTTTGACCAGAGGGATCGAGGCTCCGTTTGGCGCCGTGCGGAGGCTGTACACTCCCACAGAGGGCCACAAAGTTCAGAATCTGGACGCCTTGGAGCATGGGAGTGTCTATGTTGCAGCCGGAAATGAGCAGTTCAAAAAACTGGAGTAGGTACCATGCTGGGATTTGTGTGTGTGTGTGTGTGTTTGTGTCATTTACATTATGTATTATTTATTGCCTTCCAGGTATTGTGAGATAACAACCAAGAAGCCACAGAAAAAGAAAATAGAACAGGTACGACTACCTTTTATTTGTCTTTGATCAGCATACTGAAAAAGATTAAACTAAGTGTAACATTTATTTTCAGGCGCTATATTATGTGTGACCATAAATGGAGCTTTTCTTTAGTGGGAAGTTGCATGTATAGGTGAAGCCTAAACCCTGACCGCAAACTGTGATAATGAACTCAAAAGTCCTGTTATCACACACAACATCAGAGTTGTGTCAGACACTTGCCTCATTGCTTATTCACCACTGACCATTAGTTTTACCATTTTCAGATTCGGCCTGTTGTTCACAGCAGAATAATAGTTTCTGCTCGTTGGGGGAGAACTACCCATGAGTCTTGCACGATAAAGTGAGTATTGATTTTAAGATACAAAGTTATCCTGAGTGTAAAACAGGAGAATTTTCTCTGCTGTGTTATGTCGTAAAGTAATAATGTTTTTGTATCCGGTTTACTTTTCAGCGGTTGAATGATTATTCCTTTGTGTCTTCTTTTTCTTCTTGTGTTTCGTAGTGTTTTTACCAACGGCGATGTCTTTGTCGCTCCGGTTCGAATGCGGATCCCAAAATATACTCTCAGAAGCTGGGAACATGTCTTAGCCATGGTCACAGAGAAAGTGCATCTTCGCACCGGTGCTGTGTACAGGTGATGTCTGACATTAGTACTTTATAAACCCATATCATTTTGAAATGAGTCATGTACCAGTGAGGGCAAGCAAAGGTACAACCTGTAGTTTTTCTGTAAGAAGAAAATAGGAGCCATAATACACTTTTTTATGTTTTTGTATTTTTCGTTTCAAATATATGAATCATGACCCAAATAATGTCTTTCATCAATATTTGATTTTCTTACTATTGCCCAGCCCTGATCGCAAACATTTGAAGTCGCTAACAGTTCACCAGTCACAGTACTGGGTCTTGATTCTCTGTAGAGTATCAGCTGCTCTCATATAGATTTGGGAGATATGATTATTGGAGGCTTTTCAGTCAGTCTAAATGCAGCAATATTTAGCAGAGCGGAAGGAGTTTTCTAATTAATTAGTGATTGGGACGATGTCTGGTTGTGATGGGCTCACAAGAGTTTATCCAAAACTGCTTGTTAGGCAAATAGTGCTTTGATTAACTTTTTGCTTCCATTCAATTTAACCACTCAAACAACATTTGAGACATCTACGTCTTTTTTGTATCAAGAAGTTGAAACAATCACAAAGCATTGCTCCCATTTGTGGTATTTCTTTAATTTGAATTCCCAGGCTTTGCACATTAGATGGACGTCCTGTCTGCGGCCCGACTGAACTGGAGAACAACCAGCACTATGTTGCAGTTGGTGCAGAAAAGTTTAAAGCTCTCCCATATGATCACTGCGTCCCCTTCAGGGATCTAATCGGGGAAAACCACATGATCAAAGGGTATGATGCCTATCATGTTTTTATCAACACATTTTGAATAACCACTGGATCCCTATTTTAGTGTGAAAAAGAAAGCGAATACATGTTTGTCAATTTTGGTTTCCTTTTTTCCCCTTGCAGCCAAGACATCCTGCCTGCTGTTAAAAAGACAAGACATCCAGAGGATACGGTGAGTGCTATTGCTTCAGAGTCGGGTGCAGTTTGCCATCTGGTTGTTCACTTTATCGCTACATGCTCAATTGTTATTTTTTCCCCTAAACTCCCCCTGGTTTATTGCTGTAACACCTTGGTTGTATCACCGTTGAAAAGCGTATCTTTGCACACACAGCATTTCAATTAACATTTCCCACGTGTGAGACTTGTTGGGGGTGGGGGGGGGATTTCGTTATGAAACAGCGCTATCATCAATCACTGTCTGCAGGAGGCATTGAGTTACCTTTGCTTTCCACTTTGATGGGTAATCCCCACAGAGAAAGGCTGGCCCACTTGATCAAGTGCAGTGAGCCTCATAGACAGATCATATGCACCAGGGGGGACTTCACTGACTGAAAACCCCCAAAAAAAAATCTCTTATTCAAACCAGAACTGGGACAATTTGTATTGTGATTAAGTAGACAGTGAAGTGCTTTGAATCCGTATGAGGATTGCGCTGCTGTGGGGCCGAGCTGAACACCAAATCACACGGTGAAGATGAGAACATGCCCACTCAGCAAGTTGAGGTGGAGATGGGGGGGCTGTGCGAGATGTCTCTGACATCTGATTTTTCTAACCATGAAAGATGACAATGCTGTGGCAGATGCCAATGTTTACAGATGGAGAAAAATACCCCCCATGCTGTATCTCCAGCTGTGTCTGTGGTTGACTACCATTATATTCAGAATGCATATTTATTAGCATACATTAGAATATGTTAAGACAATTGTAAGATTTCCTTATCTTATATAAATCCATCCAATCATAAAACAATATATGGAAACCGCACTGTTATCAGACTTTGCTAAACTGAGGCACAGTCTTATTGTAGGAAAACACTGCCAAGGCCGTATCCTTTGCCATTTTCCACAGCACCATGAGGTGGAGACAGAGACAGAGCTATGGCTGTGTTTTGCATCCACCAGCTCATCGTAGCATTAGTCATTCAATGGACACGATGCTGCCGCATTTTACTCCCTTTGCCTCCGTGTCGGAGCCCTCATGAATTTGTAAACATGGTTTGACCAGTTAATGAGGACCACTCAGAGGGGACAGACACATGTGACAAAAATCGCCCCCCACTCCGTCTTGATCTGTTGGCCGTTTAGCTTGCTGATGATTACGCATACATTTATAGGGTCATGTCCGTCATTAATTTCAGTTTGACCTCACAAAACAACAGCAGTCTGGTTTGAAATGCCCGTAAAAAAGATCCTTTTAAAAACATGCTCGCTGAAGCTGTGTAAAATGTAACCTTGCTCTTGCAACCTCGCTGCATGGGGGGAACGGTGTCCGTCTGTCAGCGGTGCGTTTCTGCGCCGCTGAATGGGACATCTGGTCTGGAGCAACCACTGAAGTCTAAACTGACGGCTCTGCAGAGTGTAATATTGAAACTCTCCAGCACACCATGTTCCCATCGGGAGCGAGCATAAGTGCTGAGTTAGGTGTTCACAGACATGATGAGGTAGAAACTTTTGAGGTAGACGTCGCATAAAGAGAAGATTAATAGGGGGGGGGAGAGGAATGCAAAGAGAAAAAAAAAGAGAATAATGATGTGTATCAAAGCAAAGTACTTTCATATTATAGTGATAATAATGAGCAGTGCAATTGTGCTTCACATGTACTTCGCAAGAAGCATCCTGTGAAAACAGCCCAGAAAGGCTGACTAAACCTTTTAATAGCTGCACTCTCCCTGACATCAGCGAGGACTTGCTGCTGCTCTCCATTTCTCCGCTGTTTCTGGATGATGTCATTGGTGAGGGGGAAGTAGCAATGCCCTGTGGGAAAACTCAGCTCCTCACTGCTGCCGGCACGTCTGCTCGCCGAGGACCCGGCCCTGGGAGTGGCTCCCACTGATACCTCAGCCAGTGTTCGGTTCAATTGGTTGGGACCCCCCCCCCCCTGTCTATCCTATCACAGTGTCCTCTTATTGACTCCTGTTCTCTGCCACTTGAGAGGGCCACAGATTATTTGCTGCTCTGTCCCCCTGAGCCCCCTTCACCCTAACTCTAGCACTCTCTCTCCCATCCATGGTCTCTTTCTCTGGGGCCTGCTGACGCACACAGTCGTCTGCTCCCCCAGGACATGGTACTGTAGATATGTAATGCAGAACAAGAGGCGAGATGACCTCAGCTTTCCCACTGCCGGGTTTCCAGTTGTGCTGCTACTGGTACTGTACTCTCCTGGCTGCGAGGCACACCCTCGTACTCTGCTTTCCCCTCCCCGAGTGAGACAGTCTTGATTTAACTCTGTTGATTTAAATAAGATCTATTTACATCGACACCGCCAGGCTGTAAACATGCAAAACAAGCTGTTCAATTTTTGATTGCCCAGATGTATTTTGATTTTGAACTTTTATGGTGAAGTTGTTTCACATCACTCGCAGACGAATTGAGGTTGCGAAAACTGAATTAGCAGCTCACCACTGCGACAGTGCCGCCGCTCCTCTGTCTTTGATCTCGTGTGGTTGTGTGGACACTGCAGCGATGGAGTGTGAACTCTGTTTCAACTCTCCTTCGCTGAATATGCCAGGCAAAACTTCACTCTCTCTTTTGTTGTTTTTCTTTTTCTCCCTCGGCCCACCAACGGCTGTAGAAATTCAAAAGAATATCAACAGACTTTGCCTCTGTCTGCATTAAACAAAGCAAACAAGTGAAGAAACAACGCTGCTGTTCCCCAGAGGCCATGTTAGTGAGCTTGCAAACACCATTGCCAGAAGTGTATTCTGGTGGAAGCCTGAGATCACTACACTATCCCCTGAGCCAGCCCAGGGATCCAGCCAGGCAGCCGCAGTAAAGAGCACTGTAGCTGCGAAGAAACATTAAGTCTGCTCTATCCTGCTCTCTGTGTCTGTGTCTCTGTAAGGGAGACGCACCTCACCTTGCTACCTACAGAGCGGATGAGAAGCCTGTGAGGAGAAAATTGCCTTTTGTGGAAGCATTAATTCAGATGTGTACCCTGCTGTCTGAACATCACTCTGAACTCTCCCCACTGCTCTCTCTCTCTCCTTCTCTCTCTCTTTTTCCTTCTCTCTCTCTCTCTCTTTCCTTCTCTCTCTCTCCTTCACTCTCCCACCATGCAACTAAGTCTCAAGCCTCTTTTTTTCCCCTCCCTTCCCCATCAATAACCTTCTGCTGTCTACTGCTGAAGAATAAGTTATTCCCTACGACTCCCTCCCTTTCCCTTTAAGCTTGTTTGGATTTTCATTGTTTGATCTGGCTTGATAAATAAGACAAATGCAGTTAGAAATTCATGGCTGCCCCATTTCATCAATAAATGATTAGTTTGCCACGCTCCCTAGTGATTGATAGGTTGTGCACGGGATGTATTGGAACCAGATGAATTCAATACAGTAGGAGTCACGGGGGAGCTACAAAGCATATCAGCTCATGAAAAATTGAGGTCAATGGAAAATGTAGAAAAAGACAGGAGAAACAAGTTTTGCCCTGATGTGTTTTGTCTTTTGTCTTCTTCCTCTTTACATAACAGCAAAAATTCGATGATGAATCACAGAGAAATCTGACGGAATACGCCTTCATCCGTGCCCCTGTTTTTCCCTCTCTTTTGTCTCTTCATGTAGTTTGCTCACACAGGCTTTAGAGAGGACCTTGAGCACACAGCCAGGGGCCAGATGAAGAAACAAGCCAGACCGACGAGAACCAAACAACGGAGGCAGGTGTCCAGAAACCCAGTTCTCTTCTCAACAGGAGGTAAGCAGAGCTATTCTATTGAAATCTCTCTCTCTCTCTCTCTCTCTCTCTCTCTCTCTCTCTCTCTCTCTCTCTCTCTCTCTCTCTC